GTGACCCTGGCCACTTCCTGCTTCTTGGGAAGGTTGTCCTTGGCTGGGCTGGGGCTGGGGGTACCTCTCCCCATGGCCGTTGCTCAGCAGCAGAGGGTGGAAGCTGGGACTGGCCGCCAAGGCCCAGGCTGCTGTTCCAGGTGTGGGTCTGGGCCATTTCTCTTTCTCTCAGCAGGTGGACCTCTCTGCAATGTCCTGCAGCCTGTTGTGCCAACTGGAGCCTCGTGGACATGGAAGCCCCAGCAGCGTGGACAAGGCCAGGGCTGTGCAGGCACCCCTGCCCCCAGCCCCCAGGATAAAGGGATCCCTTGGAGCCATCTCCCAGCCTCTCTCAGCACGCAGCAGGCTGGGAGCCAGCACCGGCCAGCACCATCTGTGTTGCCTGCAGCCCAGCTGATAATGGACACTTGCCTGTGACCTGGGACTGTTAGTGTGGCCTGGGGAAAATCCTTGGAAGGGCCTGGGCCCCAGCTCTCTGCCTCTGAGAGTGGAGGAGGGGAGAAAAGGAACAAGGAGGAGGAGGTGGTCGCAGAGCAGTGTGCAGCCCTCTGGTGCAGCAGATTCTTCTTCTCCAAGGAGAAGTGAGGGGCATGTGAGGCCCACACTGGCCTTCAAGCCCCACCTTGGAGAAACAGGGAGAAGGGTGGGGCGGGGCCGCAGGTGCAGGGGAGAGAAGGCTCAACTTCCAAGGCCAACCCTACCAGGTTGAGGGGAGGGGCTGCCACCTTCTGCTAGGAGACAGTCCCTGAGGCCACACCAAGCCAAGGGTGCTTGGGCGCAAGGGTTTGGTGGCAGCAGGCTGCAGAGCTCTGTGGACCCTGTAGGGATGGGCCGTGGGAGTGGGAACACCAGCCAAGAACACCATCCAGGGGTGCTACAGGAACCCTGGCTGAGCCCACTTGCCCAGCCCTTCCCTATTCCCTGCACAACCCCTGCCAGGGCTCCCTATGGGGCATCTTCAGGGCCCTGCCTGCATGAGGGGAGCTGTTACCTGTGTACCCAGCCCTCCCCTCGGGTGGGTGGCGGCCCCTGGCCTCGCAGCTGCCTGCTTGGCTGCTTGGCTTTGTGGGACCCTGGGGTAGAACAGAGCTGGCCCAATCAAAGACCAGAGTGGCAGGGGATGTAGGGTCACCAGACATGGCCCCACGAGGGAAAGGATTGCCCTAAGCCACCCAGAGAGGAGGGAGCAGGAGGAGGAGCTGGGCCTAGGGCAGTGCAGCTGAGCTGGGGTCTCACTCGGATCAGGCTGACAGGGACAGGAGAGTCGGCACCACCGGCACACAGAGGCCCGGGTGTGTGGGTCGTATGCCTGCTGGGTTTGCACTTCCGGGTGTGGAGGGCCCCACCCAGAGCAGCAAAAGCAGGGAGGCAGGAAGCCTGGCCTTCTTACCAAAAGCTTTATGGGGACACCCGGTGGATGACCACCGCCCCGGTGAGTGAGTGGGAGGGCTGGGCCCTAGACACAGGCCAATGCTCAGAGAGGGTAAGCAGCTTGCTCAAGACCACACTGCAGGAAGGAGCTAGCCAGGGCTCAGTGAGACCACCACAGCAAGGTGCTGGGACCTTCCTGGCCGGGGTGCTCACGGGAGCAGCTGGATGCCACTCAGTCCTCCCAAAGCTGTGTCGTGCCAGCACCCTGCCAGGCAGCCTGGCACAAGGAGTCTTTGGGAGACATGGCCCCGGACAGGAGCAGGGGTCCAGGAGGAGACACCTGCCCTAGCAGAAAATGCCCCTTTCTCTGAGAGACAGGACAGTCAGCTCTGAGCACACAGGGTAGTAGCTGGGCATAAAGGTCACAGACTTTAAAAAATCGTGGCAGGGGGCCCAGCGCCATGGCTTAGTGGATAAAACCTGGCCTTGCACATGCCAGGATCCCATATGGATACCAGTTCATATCCTGGCTGCTCCACTTCCCGTCCAGCTCCCCAATTATGGCCTGAGAAAGCAGTAGAGGATCTCAAAGCCTTGGGACCCTACATCCGTGTGGGACTCAGAAAAAGCTCCTGGCTTCTGATTTTGGATTGGCTAAGCTCTGGCCATTGTGGCTACTTGGAGAGTGAACCAGCAGATGGAGGATCTTTCTGTCTCTTTTTCTCTGTAAATCTGCCTTTTGCAATAAAAAATAAATAAACCTTTAAAATACTGCACACTTCCCTGCAGCTGCTCCCTTAAAAGCGGACGGAGGCTCTGGTCTCACGTGGAGACAACCCTGGGTGGGGTAGGGATGGATGCCTTTGATCACTGGCCACTCTAAGCCGTCTTATTCTCCCTTATTGTTCTTGAGTTTTCTGCCACAAACTTGATGGTTGAGATGTGGGAGATGAAAAAAAAAAAAAGCAGCTCAGGAAGCTGACGGCTGGTGGGCACCCCAAATTCTCATGCTGCCCCTCTTCAGTCACACGATGGATTCTAGTGGTGGGGAACCCCTGAGACCTGCGGTATCTGTGCAGCCTCCGGCCAATGACACGCCCTTGACCAAGGAAGGTGGCGCCTGGGCGTGGCAGGGCACAGACAGCAGGGCTGGGGGGCGTACACGAGGGGTCTCCGCACGCCCCCAGGACCCTGCACAGCTCCAGCCTGAAGACTCACACCCACTCACCCTGCACAAGGCCGAAGCAGGACCCTCAGCCAGCCCCCAGCACGAGCTTCCTGTCTACCCAGGAGGTGAGTAATGCCGGCCCCGCGCATCCCTAGCTGAGGCCAGGCCTCACATTTTCCATCCAGGAAGGGGCAGAGGGAGAGCGAGAGAAGGGAGGGGCAGGCGAGAGGCCTGAAGGGGAAATGTCAGCAGTGGCCCTGCCTGTGGGGGTTGGGCCCGGTCATGGCCCACTCATTCACACCTTTGTCCATCCCAGGTGCCCAACAGCTACTGCCCCAGTCCTGGCCTTGCCAGCTCCAGTGTTAGGTGCCACGGTCCTGGCTCCAGGGTGCTCACAGCCACAGGAGAAGAAACAAAGAGCCCCACCAACGGTGTCACCACAGAATTGGCAGGGCCCAGCCACAGTGTACCCTCATGGGCAACTCCTAAGTCCCAGGGCTTCTCCAAGGACTTAGGATGTGCACACGGCCCTGCCAGGACCCTGTGGAGAGCAGGAAGCCTCAGCCCGGGCGTGGCCCCACAGGGCGGGATGGGAAGGCACAGGAAGCACAGCAGGATCCCAACCTCTCCCATGGCCCCTACCCGCACCTGTCACAGCGGAGAGAGGGCAGCAGCTTCCGTGTGGCCCTGGCCCCGGCGAGTGCCCTCCCTGGTGCTCAATGAGATGGCACCAGAGCAGTAGCTCCACTGAGGTGTGCAAGGGAAAGGTGGACAGACAGTGACAGGTCAGAGCAGGGAACATGGGGGCTCGCTTCCCCTATGGCTCACTAGGGCTCGGCCGTGGCACCTGCCCTGCCAGGGCCTGGCCATGCATCCCATGTGGAAACAGCAGGACCCCACCAAGCTGTTGGTATGGAGGCAGGGGTTGGCTCCAGCTCGCACTGCTACTCCGCACCCATGTGGCTGGGAGGTGTCATGGGCTCAGCCTTGGAGCTCCCATGCTCCCTGGCCAAAGGAAAGGACCAGATGGGCCAGTCTGGGCCACCTCGGAACCCCACAATCCCAGCACTGGGGCTGCACTGCTCTCACACCAGCACGGCAGCTCCAAACCTCCAGCTGCAGCCCCTGATGAAATAATTAAATTGGTGGCAGCACAGTCCACACCATCCCCTCCGTCTCCAGCTCCGGCTGCCCGCCTTGATAAACAACTGGCTGCTGGCCACCTCACTTCCTAGGGACCACCGGCAGCTGAGCCTCACTCCCACCAATCAACAGATCCCGAGAGAGGCTCCACAAGTGTCCCCCACTGTGGCCACTCCCCAGGGGTGGTTGCAAGGACCAACACCACCAGAAGGCTTCCCAGGATGAGCAAGGTAGGGCAGCCCATCCTGCCTTCCTCCTCCTCCTGGTCCTCTTTGGGTGGGACTGAGCACGGCTGCTGGCCCTGGGTGTGGCCCTCCAGCAGCCCAGCCGCCCACCCGGCAGTACCCGGCCCTGCCCGCCCCGGAGTGCCCACCCCCGTGGGAACGCGGTGGGAGCACACAGCACGAGGGGGGTCGCGCTGACCTCACGAGGCATTGAGGTACAAAAGCCCTTTCTTTCCCAGCAGCCTCGCACCCCACTCCTCGCACAGGCACGCCCTGGCTCCCCGGCCCCTGGCCCAGACACCTCCAGGCTGGGTCTCCTCCGAGACAAAGCCGGATTCAAGCTGAGGGGGCCAGTCGGGGAGCCGGGTGCACGGGTTCTGCCATGGAGACGAACTTTGACCCAAACCAGGAGGCTCCTACCCCTTATTTACTCTCCGGCCTGCCTGGTGCACTGAGCCAACATCGCACCCCTTTCTAACCCTGCACCTCCCTGCCACATTCCAGGCCCCGACCTTCGACCCTTCCTAATTGCTGGCTCCTACACCCCAGTTGTCAGAGGCCACCTCCTCCACGGAAACCACGGCACTGGGGACCATGGGGGCCGCCCACGCCTGCAGGCCCGCCATACCCACGCTGATGCCGGAGCCCCACATAGGAGCTCTGAAGTGGGTCCCTGGGAGCTGACTCCTGACCCCAACCCTTGCAGTGACAGGCAGGGAGGATGCAGGCTGCTACTGCTGCAGGCAGAGCCAAGCCAGGGGCAAGAGCTCAGCCGGCTGCAGGGACGTGTGGACAGCGGTCCCGCGCCAGGGGCCCCATCTTACAGCCACCCTCCTCATTCTAGCTGTGGGACACAGCTGTCACGTCACGACAGGTACGGGAAGAAGAGGAGGTGCAGCTGGCCGGGTCTGGGTCAAGCACCCCAGAAGCCTTCAGAGGCTGGGTTCCCCCACACCTTCATAGCCCACAAGGACTGGATGCAACGCCCCACCCCCACATCCTCCAGGAGAGACAGACAAGCCTTGCTGTGTCTCTGGGGACATCTGTCTGTTGCCCACTCCCTCGACCCCCCTGCCAGTGCTGGGGACACTCACCATCTTCATGGCCGTGGAGGTTCTGCGGGCTCCGCATCCTTTCGTCCTGGCTGGGACTCAGGCTGGAGGCCAGGTGTGGTTCAGCTGACATCCATGTGGAGTCGCTCATATCAAAATCTCCACTGCTCACTGAGGTTTCATCCTGATTGGGGGGGTTGGGGGGGGAGAGAAAGAAAGCAGGGGTCAACGGGGCGCCAGGGGAGGTGCGCCCTCCTGCCCAGCCCCCCTGGAAACAGCCTGGACTCTGGTTCCTGTCGGAAGCCAGGGCCCAGGGCCCGCACTGCTGCCTGTAATTGAAGACAATTACGAGGTCTTGCATCCTGTAGGGGCGGACGGTGGGGCCTGGCTCCTACCCTCGCCAGCCAAGGTTGCAGCGAGCACTGTAAACAAGGGCGGCCCCGGGAAGGGGGCTGGCTGGGCACAGGGCCCCTCGGAGGCCAGAGGTGGGCAGGGAGATGTGCGGGGAGGTGGGGGAGGCCGGCTGCACTCCTGGGGAACATGCACTGAATTCCTTTCTCCTACTCCCCCAGCCCAGAGGACATTTCTGTCTTCCTCCTTGCTAACCTTCGCTGCGCTTCAAAGATATGCTCTTGGGCGGCTTCCAGGGTTTCCAGGGCCAGCCCCAGAGGCAGAAGGAAGGAGGGGGGCGGGGCGGGCCAGGGTTCCAATCAGACGGCAAAGGGGGTTCAGCTCAAGGGCCTTGGGGGGAGCACCAGGGCCTTCCAAACAGCCGGATGGGGCTGCTGGGCGAGGACCACGCCTGCTGCCTTGGCCAGTCATCCGGGAACCCCTGGGGCAGGAAGGGACCCCACCTCCCTCTGGCCCAGCCTCTCTGAGGAGCAGCAGGCGACTGTGCTTGGGAGCCAGTGGTGAAACCAGGAGAAAGATGAAACCCAGCAGCTCACACAGCCCAGGGTTCGGGCCTCCCCTGCCCCCGCCCAGCAAGGCATAGCAAACACGCTTCAGCAAGAACTTCCTCAGCCCCGTTCCTCCCTCCCACAGCACACAAGTGTTCCCGCTACCGGGGAACCCATGTAGCTCAGCCACTCCTTGCTCCACTACTTGGGAGTTTCCTGGAATTTACAACTTCTGTGTGGCAGGGGACCCCCCCCCACCACCACCACCACAATTGAACCCTGGGAATGGGAGTCAGCCCCCCACACAGTACACCCATAGTCCTCTCTCCATAAATGCATACACAGGTGGGCACTTCTGCATATACACAGGCCCAGCTGCTGGCTGCCCACCCCGGTGACTCTCCAACCCCGTTCCTGCCTCGAGTCCACCCTGAGGGAATCTTCACATTGGAGAAACACACCGGTCCCAAAGCCCTCCCTGCACAAAGGGACAACAAAACCACCCCAGATGCTAATGGGACAGAACCAGAGGGGGGTGGGGAGCAGAGCTGGCAGCAGGAAGAGGTGCCAGTGCAAGGCCGCTATGGGAATGGTCTCACGGGTCGGGGCCACGGTACCCGGCTCGGGGTCAGACCTGAAGCCAGGCATAAAGTTGGGAAATTCAGGTTTGGGCAGTGTTGGGAATGCTCCTGAATTAAACTACAAGCTTTCTATTGCCACTCAGAAGCACTGCCCCCTCACACACATTGGACAAGCACCTATGGAACATCTCCGGTGGGCCAAACCCCTTTGCTGGTGCTGGGAGAGTCAGCCATGGATGAGACCAAGCCCCAGCCCTCTAAGCACTCTCCCATTCAGAGGGGCTGAGGACACAAGGCAGGGAAGTACACAAAGCCATGGCCATGGGCACTCCAAAGCCCCCACGAAGCAAGAGACCCAAGGAGGTAGCCCCACAGGGCCGGCTGCCAGGGCATCTGAGGTGGTCCTCACGGTGCATGGGGCAGGGGCTGTGCAGTGTCACCACAGGGAACAGAACTGGCGTTAGACAGTGGCCCAAGATGGTGAGCACCCGGGGACCAGGGAGTCTCCTAGTGGCCAGCCCTCCTGTCTCCAGTTTTGACAAAGCTTTGTGGAGTGTTCCAGCAATCCTTGGGGCTGAGGGAGGAGAGCGGGGTGGGATTGCAGGGGGAAGGGAGGGCGCTCCGAGATGGGCTGGGGACTTCCATGCTCGGGCCTCACCCAGCCAGGTTCAAGACAGTGACAAAAGAAACCAAAGCTTGGCAGGTGCCACATTCTCCCTGGGCCATCCGCATCCCCCTTCCCTGTGGGCCCACTGTGGCCCGCTGAGCAGGCACCACTAGTAGGTCCTTGCTACCAACAAGGAAGCCAAACCCTGAGAGGATGAGGCACTTGTCCAGGGCCACATCCGGCTCTGTGGCCATGTCTCATCCCAGCTGTCCCACCGTCCCACACCCTCATCCATCATCTACTTTCTCCAAATTCTGCTTCTGAAATCATAGACCTGCCTGAGGTATTTTTCCAGTGAGAGCAGGTCCCCGAAGGAAGGAAGGTGAGGCCCACAGGTCCTGAGGTGCACTGCCCTGCCGATCCCCCACCAGACCAGAGACATGTTCAGTGCACTGAACTGGTTGGTGCGACGCCTGGCATGCAATGAGGAGGCTGTGTGAATCTGACCATTAAGGGCTCTTGGACCCATGGTGTGTGGTGCTGGAACAGAGGCTGTGTGCAAGCGGGGACCTGGGCTGGCAGGCCAGCAGCTGCCCTGTGACATCCCCCCTTCTGCAACTGCCACTAGTGGGGCCACTCTTGGTCCAGCATTCCTATGTTCCTCCCTCCACCCCACAAATCCCACTGGGAAGAGGTGGGCTGTATCTGACATTGACATTGAAACCTCCTGGTACCAAGAGGGGCGTCCGACACATGCGGGGCTGCCTGGGATGGGGGCTCTGTCTACAGTGCTGTCCAGCAGGCCCCCAGACCCGGAGCTGATAATGAAGCACAGTGCACAGGCATGAACAAAAGCAGCTCTCTCCCTAAGCCTGACTACAGAACCACCAGGCCAAGGGCTGCCTCCCTGCACACTTTCTCCCACCTACCTGAAACAATCAGATTCTTCAAGGATACAATGTCTCAGGCCCAGCGGCTTGACCTGGTGGCTAAAGTCCTCACCCTGAACCCTCCGGGATCCTACATGGGTGCCGTTCTAATCCTGGCAGCTCCACTTCCCATCCGACTCCCTGCTTGTGGCCTGGGAGAGCAGTCAAGGACGGCCCAAAGCCTTGGGACCCTGCACCTGTGTGGGAGACCTGGAGGAGGTTCCAGGCTCCTGGCTCCGGATCAGCACAGCACCAGCTGTTGCAGCCACTTGGGGAGTGAATCATCAGACAGTAGATCTTCCTCTCTGTCTCTCCTCCTCTATGTATATTTGACTTTCTAATAAAAATAAGTATTTTTTTAAAAAGGATACAATGTCTCCACAGGAGGACCCCAAGAAAGCTGCACCAAAGCTTACACACACACACACACACACACACACACACACACACACACACACACACAGAGAGAGCTCTGGCCATTCAATGTAGACGATGAAGGTGGGATCTTTCCCTCCACGTCTCATTATGTAGGGGAAGGGGACCAGCCCACCCAGGTGGGCGTGGATGGAGTGGGGAGCCCTGCCAGGTTACCCACTGACCACATCCCCCTCTGCAGGGACTCTTCCTCTTGCCCCCAACGTGGAGACCTCAGTCCTGTGAGAAGTGCTTTTGTCCATGACCTTGACACTTGCTGCCACAGCTATGTTGTTTCCTAAGTGGGAAATCAACCCTTCCAAACCTAACTTTTCACGAAAAAAATCAGCCAACCAATGAAGTCGTGTTTGGGCCCATCGGCCTGCCGCATCTACACTCCTGGGGCCCGACCTGGAAGAGAAGCCTTCCCAAGGCCCCTGGACGGACAGCCTGCAGCGGAAGCGACCACAGCAGAACCCCACAGTGCACAAGCATGGAGCAGCCCCGCCGCAGAGGGGCAAGCAAGCGAGCACGCATTGTGGCCTCCCTGCCCTTGAGCCTGGGCTGTAGACGCAGGCTCACCACAAGGACAGTCACCCACTCACCCACACACACAGTTCAGAACCCATGGGGGGGAAGAAAGAAAAACCCATGGAAGGGAAAAATCTGTAGCATCCGAGCACCCAGGGACCTCCAGAGACACCGCTGCCCTGCTCCCCTCCCCATGACACTGAACCCCTAGAGGTCACAGGCTGGATGCATCCTGCTTGTACCTGCGGAAATCTCTCAGAATCGGGAATGCCACCCTCTTGCTTTCTGTTGATAAACGTCAATGCAACTTTTCCTTCGACAACAAATAATGCACATGACCCATCCTTTCTGGGACCCCTCTCGGGTCACCCCAGGAGACCATCCTGCTCACTGCACTTGGTTCCTCTAGTCTGCCCTCAGACACCAGGAAGCTTGTGGCCTTGCCTACCTGGCAACACAAGTTCCACCACGTGAGCTGGCTTTGGAGGATAGTAGGTTCAAGTCCCAGCTGCTCCACCTGCAATCCAGCTCCCTGCTAAGGGGCCTAGAAAAAGCAGCAGCAGATCGCTTGAGCACTTGGGCCCCTGTCACTCACATGGAAGTTCAGATGAAACTCTTGGCTTCAACTTGGCCTAGCAGCCATGGTCATTGCGACCATGTGGGAAGCAAACCAGCGGATGGAAGCTGTCTCTCCCTTTCTCTCCATAACCCTGACTTGTCAATAAACCAACCAACCAATCTTCAAAAAAGAAAAGAAAGAAAAAAAAATGTCCAAGCCACTCTGGGTTGTCATGGGGCCAGCTTCCCTTTGGGGGCAACCCTAGGAGGTGGGTGGGCAGCAGGTGGGCAGCATGAGGGCAGTGCCCAGGACACACCCCAGTCTGGCAGCCCTGACTCGGGGCAGAGGGAGAGGAGCTGACCAAGCCCTAAGCGCTCTTATCTGCAGTCCAAAATTCATGGGCAGGTTCCATTCCTCTCCACCCAGCGGGCAGGCCCTTCCTCCTAGGCAGACAGCTAACACCAGTCACTGCCCAGGCCGGGAGGAGGGGAAGCCCGGAGAGCAGAAGGGAAATGGTGGCCGTGGGGTTGGAGCCGTGGCTAGTAACCACAGGCAGGTGCTATCGCTAACCTGATTATTTTACAACTGGGGTCAATTTCTCTGGAACTGGGTTCCCGGTGTCTCTGAAGTTGAGCTGTTTGCATCCTACGGGGCCCGGGCTCCT